TTTTTGTTTACCGAGTGGCGGCGAGTGTGAAGTTTAATAAATTTTAAAGCTTGCTTTACGGCGCTTTCTCGTTAGCCGAAATTTATGCGGCCTTTAGAATTTAGTGTCACAAAGTAAGGCGGGTGAAAGTGAACATATCGGATAAGACATTATCATGGTGGCAACATCAAAGCCAAGTGTCTTATCTGCTTATCCTGCCCAAGAATCCCTGATCCACTTAGAGTCCTCCTGCTGTTTGCTTTATGGCCTTTATAGCCTGCCTGCCGAGTGTCACACACGTCCATATATTTATTAGCATATTGCCAGGGACGCCCTCTCACCTAATGATGCAGAAATGTAAAACAACTGGGACTGCTACCCCTCCGATGCCACAAGGCATTCGGAAGCTTTCCAACCCATTGCCCCAGTTGCCCCAGCTCGTGTGGAGCCCTCGGAGGGATTGTCATTGGCAATTGTGATGTGGCATACTGATTTTGTTATTCTGGGAGCCAACTCCGCGTGACGTACGCGCTTTTTTATTTCGCAAACGTGCTGGGAAATCGAAAACTGCAAGATTACCAGGGTGAAGAACTATCACATGAAATACGAGAATCATTGCCATCATGTTAAATCCTTTTTGCAAGATATTTGTGTGCTTGGGTAATAGGTAAAGTTATAAATAGATATATTTTGTATTTCTTAAAAATAAATATTTATTTGTAACTTAAGCCCCCTTAAGTTCTGGTTTATTATTAGTGATATAATCACAAATTGTTTCATATATATTCTTATAACCAGATTTATTGTTTTGATTCTGGCACCTACTGGCGGAATGCACATTTTTCCAGTAGTCAAACTTCGAGGAGATACGCTTAGCTCGAGTATTGCAGCTGAGTGTCCAAAGTTTGAAGTTTAGTCAAACTTTTCTTTGGACAGCAAAGTGGCGAGTTGCGATGCTGATCCTAAAAAAAACTTCATCAGTGAAAAAGCGACGAGATGCCCCAAATTTTAAAGTTAAATTGTTTGACGTGACGTTGCAAAATATTTGGGGCAAAATGGGCGTGAGCTGCAGTGTGCCCCATCCCATCAATTCATTTAATACAAAGCCCTGCTAAATCCTCTTTGCATCATTTTCCATAATTTAGACCATATTACTCTTTTAGATTGAATTTTATGTTTGCCCCTTGATGAATGCCAAAATAAATGCCAATTTATACACCTACTTGGCCAAATTGAATTACACTAAATAGGCTTATGTCTGCCAATAAAGAAAAGCGAATTCAATTTTCTGACAATTCCCAAAAATGTAGCCAAATGTGGGCAGAAAAATAAGAGACATAAAATATAATATATTTTGTGGTAAAGTGTCATAAACCTTTTGTTAAGCTTATAAAACTTTACAGCAGATGTCAAGTCTGCGGCGCAGTTTTTATTCTATTTTATTTTTTTTTTCTTAATTTAAAAGCGTTTGATTAGAGACAGGTGGGCTAACGAAATTAACATCTTGTCATAAATTAAAAACTTCTGAGGGGGCGTCTGCCCAGTCAATTTACCCGTCACCTCTTTTCTTCTGCCTTTTCCCCATTGAAATTGAAAGTCCTGTGTTGGCATCCATGAATGCAGTTCGAGGGAAACTCAAATAGAATGAATCAGCCTGGAGTGAAAGGTAAATGCGTGAATAGTTGGCTGATTAAACGAGTGCCTAAAACACTCTACAAATTTTACCAAGTGCACTCGAATTCCTTTCATTTTGTCGCAGCAAGTTGAATAAATTGAGCGCTGTAGACCAAGTTGAAGTGCTTATCTATACCGGGGCTTTCAGGCGCAACGACTTTGCAAAAAAAAATATAGTGAGACCCTTGGCTCCTTTACAATTTTTCATCCAAAGTGCCAACAGTTTATGGCCACATTATCACGGGCCATTTAAAGCACTCATACGCAGCGTAAGCCAATAACTGGGGCATCATTTTTGGCACATATCTGAAGCTTTCATTAGCCGGTTTTGCCCAACACTTGGGAGGTTAGAGAGGAGTTAGAAATTGGCAGGAACTTTTGTAACCTCTGGAAACACCATGTTCCAAACATTTTGCAAACAATGAAAGATAAATATCCATTCAATTAGCTGCCATAAAATTAGTTCTAACTCTTCTAGCCCTGTATTAAATGAAGAAAGCCACTCAAAGTTCGTCGTGCAATTAATGGTGCTGGTCTAAACTAGTTCGGTTACCTCAATTTAGTTGGCAATATTGCCTGGCAACCATATATGCTGCATATTTTGTCAGGCAAGCGCGAGCATAAGTTAAAAACTTTGCAACAACAGCGCCCGGCAATTCATTAGCATGCAAATTTGAAAATTTATCAGCTGGTGGTCTAGGCTTTTGCACTTAAAAAAAATGTACAACAAATTTAATTTTTTACAAATACAAAAAAACCCACGATATAGAGATTAGTTTATTGAATATCTATTTTATCTAGATATACCTATTTCGAATACTATCAGTTTTTTTTTAGTTTTAAATGATTCACTTTTTATTATATATGAAAATAATGATACCCTTGCAGACGGTATTATAAAATTGGTCAGAAGTTTGTAACGCAGTGAAGGAGAAATTTCCGACCCTGTAAAGCATATACATAACAAGTAATAAATTCATGTTCTTTTGATTAGACATCCCATAAATTTTCCTATGAAAAGTATATAATTTAAGCCTTTAACTTAGTTTAATGAAACACTTAGCAGAATGTAAATTTCTATATAGCAGTAACAGGAGAAAGTTTTCATGAGTCAAATTTCTCTACGATTGAGTATAGCTTTTTGGGGTGGATTTTTCCCGAGTGCCGTCATGGTGTAGGTCCTGGCTTTTGTCCTGACATGGGTCCTGGCTTGGGTCATGGTCCTGCAAACGGAACTTTCTCACACTCTGGGAATTCTTTAAAACGGGGACCGCAGCTGGTTTACTAACTGCATCAGCTCACATGACAAAGTTTGTCGCACAAATTATAAACAGATCGCAATGGAGGCCAGCAGGAGGAATCCCCAGACTTATTCTAACGGTTGGAGCAGCAGATGCTTGGTAAGTGCAACTTTATGACCATGACCTCCCAAATATGCTGTATTTGTTTGAGAAGTTCTATAGAAATTCCAAATCCAATCTATAATATTAGAATTATGGTTTTATTTAATAAAATATAATATTATATATTTGTTACTTAATTATTTATCTTGTAAACAGAGAAACTATTTAAACAAAAGTAAAATTTTCTTATTAAAAAATTGGCTTGATGTTAAAAATACAATGTATATTTAAAAAAATAATGATTTACGGATTGGTTTTTACGTGCAGATATGGTAATGTTAAAATATAAAGTTTATAGCTTAAAAGTTCTTAACAGCTGCAATTATGATTCATGAACAGTAAATTGTCAAAATAGTTACCCATTTCCGATTTGAAAATGACTAGCCCAAAAATAACCACCTGACACGCTTTTAATTATCTTTAAATTACAGGCCATTTTATTTTAGTAATTACGTACTGCTGCTGTTGTCTAGCAACTTTCTTATCGTACAGTCTAAAGAGTAGGGAGACCTTAAGGTAAAGTCGATAAAACAAAAATGTATATGTATTGACCAATATTGACAGAAGTTATTGATTACAAACGTAAACAGAAGCGCACTGCACTGATTTTAAGGAAACTGATAATGGCAATAAATATTTTTTTTCCACCCATTTGAAAAAAACGCTTACTCAGCCAATATCCAGGGTCGGTATAGTGACCCTTTAAAAGATAACACCAAACAGTGTCTTGGTCTTGGTTTCTTGCTAATGTTTGGGTATTAACTAGCCACAAATTTACGTGTGCCTATGTATATGTTAGTACCATAAACAAGAGGAAGACCCCACAGATAAGAATCGATGTCTGGGTTGGGTTTTAGTTTTTCAAGAACTGTGCTGCCATCTGCACAGCCTTTTTGGCCGGTGGTTTTATTTAAGAATCATGAATACGAAAGTCCATGAAATATTTGCAGAAGAATAAATAATTTGTATTTGAATAATTAATAAAACATAAAAGTACTGTGCCCAAATTAATGGTGGAACGCAACAGTGGAATTCAATACGAAAGAATGCCGACGGTAACTTTCAGGTACAAATAATTTTACAATTTAAAAATGTAGTTAAATTACAAAGGTTATAAAAAAGGTTTGCAACCAAATAAGTTGAAAAATTGTAATATAAATAATTTTAATTGATTTGTGAATTTTTGAATTACTAATTAAATTTGGCTCTGTTCGTTGGTAGAGACTTTATAGATGTGTTAGATCTTTCATAATATTTTGGTTATTATTTTAACACATATATCGTAACTTTCTCTAAAGCTGATGAGTCAGCCTCAAGGTTTTCCCTTTTTTAAAACCACAGACCTTAGCTAAAGGCATACACTTAGGTAAATATAACGTCACATATTTACAATTAACAAAATCTTTGAAATAATTTGGGAAGCCAAAAAAAACACAAATTGACTCATGTGGGTAAATATTTGCCTCTCTTGAGATCGGCAAACAGTGTTGACCCAGTAAACAAGCCCAAAGCACGAAGATCTAGACTGGCAAAGGCGCAGAGATAACCGGCGAATTTTGCTATAGAAACGCAGAGATGTTTACTGCAATCTTTACGCGATAATTAGCTACATTGACAACTTTTTATGATGACGCGATATAGCTATCAGATCGTTACAGATCTCAAGACCTATCGAAATACCTAAGATTTAGGTATATAACCGAAGACGCTATATGCAGCATGCGTATACATATTTCAGGCCTGACTGATGAAGTGCAAATAGGCTAATAAATAAAGGCAATAATAAGACTGCAATAGATTTATTTACACACACGGATCACACTCGTACTCGTACGGTAAAAATAGCAGGCTAATAACAACGCTAATCAGTTAGTCAAATATCGTCTGGCCGATAGCTCCGACAATTGGAGTAACTGCCTCAAAAACACCTCAGTCTTCCCACTGACACGAGTCTGTAAAGGCGCGGCAAATCGCGGTTTGAAGATCGCTGATCGGTCGGTTCAAATATATAGCAGTGCCTGGAGTCTGCTGACCCCTTTCAGTTCAATTTCACAAAAACTAAGCCGGAAATGTCGCTAATTAACTTGAAATCGAAAGACATGTACGACGAACCGATTAATCTATGGAGGACTAAGCAACGCGTCCATTATCACCACGATGTGATATCGAAAGGAAATAAGTTAGTTTTCGATCCAAGTTCTCAACTGCAGTGGCACATATACACGACGAATTTTTATTGTATAATAACTAAAGCTAATTTCGTAAATGTTAATTTAATTTGATAAGGCACACTAAGAAAAAAATTAAGTTTTATAAAAGGGAGTCTGTTGGGATCGCAAAATGTATTGTTATTTGAGGTTCTATTTTTTACGCATTATTTTTTATATTTTTTTCAATTTTAATATTTTGAAGTATTTTATCTAATCATAAAATAGTTTGCAAAAGCCATACAGGTGTCATACTTTGACATAAGCTTTTTGTCGTTTCTTTTCGTGTGTGAAAGCCGCAGCTCAAGTTCTAGACACTGATTGCAGGCAACAAAAGGAAAACGTGATCACTTAATGTTTGTGTAAACAGTTAAAACTTATCTATCTCTTGATTGATGAGACAACCGGCCGACTTTTATCAATAAACTTATATACAAATTAGAGGTATTTCCAAAGGAACACGCGTGGTTTTATTAGCCAGCGGAGTGATAGTATCTCAATTTGTGGGCAGAAATCGATCAAAAATCAATCAAAGCTGCAAAAATACAAATACGATTTGTTCAGGGTCAGGTAAAAGACATGAAATTGAATCAAAAGTTCGAAAAGTAGATTCAGTTCATCGGAAAGCATTGAACCTATTGCAAGCTATTCGGCTTTCTCGTGTGTATATGTGCCACCAAACGTATGGATTGAGTTCTTGTGCAGCCTTTAATTTATTTCGATCCTGAAATAGCGGTCACAGATCCTCCGATGCCTGTGAATACATAACTATAAGTGCGCCAAAGAAATCGGCCTCGTTCTCCAGATCCCCCCCGAACTCGCTGCCCCCTTCGGTTCCCGGAACTCCACCCCATTCGGTGGCCGCCACCTCGAATCAGGTGATCCGTTACGCCAGAACGTCCTGTGATCACTGTGGCCACCACAGTATTCCGGTCATGTCGCCGCATCCCATCTCACCGCTGGCCAAGTCGCAGACGAACCTCGATCTCGTGGAGCACGCCAGTCAGCGGCAGGCCCTCCTCCCACTGCCCACCATCGGGATCCACCGCGATGACTCCGCTTGCACCTTGCAGGTGTCCCGCAGGCCATCGCTGCTCCTCCAGGAGATCCTCACCCAGCGTCCTCCGCTTTTTGGGAGGAAGGACGGCAACGGGTTCCTTTCGCCAAGGACTGCCAAAAATGGGTACTTCTTTGGTTGCATAATTACATTTCGGGTTTAATACAAATTTGAGGTTTTGACAACCTGAAGAGGAAATAGAGGAAATAGTGGAAAAATAAAAATTTCAACATTTATCTCTGGACAAAGTTAAACGATATAATTTTACTTAAGCACACATCAAATCAAAGGTATTTTTGTATCAAAATATAATTTAAATTATAAAGTTTTGTTTTTAAAATATTGACAATCGCATCGGCATTATTGTAAGGTATTTTTATTAATACAATTTAAAATTTCATAAAGCTCTATTAATTGGACAAATTTAGCTGGACTTCATAAAATTTTTGAATTTTAGTTTCGGGTGAACAACATACTTATTTAAATTTATTTTTTGGAGTTCACATGCAAAATTTGTAAGACGAAGTAGAAGAGTTCATCTCACTCAAATCACCCAGAAGTCCAACCAATATTTAACGCTGGCTAAATTTATAAACATTATTAATATAATATTTTATTTCTTTAAAAAAATATTTCTTTATGATTATATGAACTGAATTTAAACCACATTTATTATTTACTTGCAGTAACCTTCAGGGAACAGCGAGTGGCAGTACAGCGACCATAAATTTCCAGAGCGGCACCACGAGTGCCAGGAATGGATCCACAGCCTGTTTCGACAATGGAGCCAAAAGCTATCAGGCCAAGCAGCAGAAGGAAAAGAACCGACGCACTGGCAAGTAAGTAAAATGGAAATGCAAAGAGGCCACAAATTTAGATCAACTAATTTTGTAAATATATTTTTCCAGCGATGCCATAAGTTCAGCACTGTCGGCCACCTATTGCAAGCTGTTGGTGCTGCTCGGCGTTTGTCTGCCCATCACAGAAGTTATATCCGACCAGATACCCACCTATGTGTACCAGGGATTCTACGTATATCTCTATGTGGGCAGCATACTCTTTGTGATTTTCCTGTACATCAGTGCCTTTCGAAATCGATCGCTTTTCAATGCTCTCAAGGACTTTCGTAAGTATTAAAATATATTATAATTAATATATTATTATTTAACTATAGTACTAATATATTTTTAGATGAAAAGAATAGCAATGTGCATCTAAAGCACAAGGTAACCCATTTTGGTAGCTTCTATCTGAGAGTGGGAGCCATTGCCTTTGCCATTGGCACCATGGTGTATTCTGGCCTGGAGTTCGGTCAGTTTTTTGAGTTGAATGGCCATCCCGGCTGTCGCGATGTCTTCGTGGCCATCACACCCATCTGCCGAATGGTCCTGTGCATCGCCCAGGTGCAGTTCATCTTCCTGAACACCACTTACATGGACATGGCCCGGCATAAGGTGACCTCGCGATTCGGACTCATGCACATGGTGGCCACCAACCTGTGCGAGTGGCTGTATGTCCTGGTGGAGGAGACCAAGCACGAGATTTTCCACATCAGTCAGCACGAGGTGGATCCTGCCCACGATTTGGTCAGTCACAATGGCGGCAATAGAACGGACTGGTCGGCGGTCAATGAGTCGCTGCACCAGCACCATCACCACAATCTCATCAACAACACCCTGCTGGGCAATGTGAGTTCTGTGATCGCGAACATCACGGTGACGCCATCGCCCACGGCGGCTGCCTTCAGTGGCTGCTCCCGCACCACGATTATGGGTGCTCTGGTCCAGCAGCTGTCCCCCTTCCTGTTCCCCTGCACCATCGAGTACTCCCTGATCTGTGCCGTGATCCTTTTCGAGATGTGGAAGACTGTCAAGTCCATTCCGGATATCGACAAGACCCGCAAGAATTCCGTCAAACCAGTTGCCGCTAAGCCCGCCCATCACTTCTCCGTGGATTGCTCGCAGTCGCACAAGGGCCTCTTCTTCGGCATCTTGATTATAGTGATGACCATTATCGCCATGATCATGTACTTCGTGCTCTACACACAGCCGGGCTATGAACTGGTGGCCACTCAGGAGGTTACTCTGTGGGAGACCTTCATGTACTTCATGTGCGCATCGGCTGTGATAACGGGTGAGTGGCATTTACTGACTATCAAACATATGCAATCCGAAAAACTAATTTTACAAAATGTAATCTCATCATCATTTCTGAAAATAATTGTAACTAAATATGTCTTCTTAAATTAAGAAAGAAAGCTTACTTCAGAAAGCCAAAGTTTTTATACATGTGCATTTATAAGAAAGAAGTTTTAGTCAATACACTTATTTCACCAGTTGATTTTTAAACATTTTTATAATAACCTTTTCAATTTGTCAGAGAATATACTTCTAGTCAGAGCAAAAGCTCAAAAAAGAATTTTTATGATTTTTATTTCTGGCATTAAATTACCCCTTTTAATATGTGTTACAGGCATGATTCTAATGCGCGATCTGCGCTACATCAAGGACACCAGCGACGAGCACCACTCGATGGATCTGGACAATCTGCTGCTGATTGTGGCCCAGACCGGCGTGTACTTGTACGGCATGTTCAGCATTCTGGGCAGCTACTTTGCCAAGTGGGACACGGTGCCCGATCGCGTGGAGGGCATCATAGCGGAGGTGTTCGGGGTGGTGCAGACCTCACTGCAGACCATGTTCATCCTGCACGCCAGCCATCGGCGGTGCAAGGGGGCCAAGCAGGTGCGGAGGAAGCCGGGCAGGGAGATCATCACGTTCCTGCTGGTGGCCAACATTGCCATCTGGTTCGTGAACACCCTGATCAAGGGACGGGCCGTGTTCCGGGAGACCCATCTAGAGTTCTTTGGCGTCTGGGGCTGGACGATCATCACTCACATCTCCATGCCGCTGGCCATCTTCTATCGCTTCCACTCCACCATTTGCCTCTTCGAAGTGTGGAAAATCACCTACAAGGCCAAGTCGCATTAGGAGCCAACTGTTGATTAGTTTTCTCTAGCTTTCCTTCGATTAAGTTAATTTAAAGACCAAGCGTCTACTTGCGAACTTTAGTTAAAGTATGTTTAGGTTTGAAATTTGTTGACATTGCTAGCTCAAAATAAAGATTTAATTTATTAATCGATTGGATTTATTATTAAGCTGAAAAGAAATGTAGTTCTACAGAATGGTGACATAAAATAAACATTTTCCACATGGTAAACAATAAATTTAAAAGTTCACTATTGCAATGCAACAATTGATTTCGAAAACTAAAACAATTATTTAATAACTTGGCTGATATTATGTGATTTTTGTATACTTTTCAGTTAGCAGTTCAGGTGCCAAAAGATTAAGCAGTCACCATGTTTACCCAATTTCAGTTGACACTTTAAAATGGTAACAATTGGTAACCATGCGCGTGCTCTTATTGATCGATTTTTCTGAGCACTCATTTTGTGAATTAGGTAATGCAAAAAAAATGAAAAGCATTCAACAAGCAAGTGAAACAGGCCTTTAAATAAATCAGTGCTTTGGGGATACATGTGAGTCAGTTACAAATTGCCTTGATCCATTAATACCCAAAAGAAATCGCGTGCCCAAAAAGCAAAATCAGGTATTCATGTATCGAATAAATCTTGACGATTGACAAATCGGCGTTTCCGTTTCCTGTTGCGTATCCTTTCCCAATAAAAATGTCAAAATGGGGCTGGGATTGACATTGAATGGATGCAAAAGGAAGTGAGTTAAAAGGGGAAGACAGTCTTATGGGCATAAATTTGATATGGCCAAGAACACATGAGCAGACATTGACGTGTGCGGGGCGTTGTTGGGTGAAGGACTTTCGAACAGAAACATCAAGGTAAATAAAAAGGTATTGAGCCATGAAGTTGATGAATTGGCGCATTTAAATTATGTATTTATGGGGAAATCGGAGAAATTGTTATTCAGGCAGCTTGCGCAGCGATAATAAACGGGCAATTTGGGGTTAACAAATCGAGTGATGAATGGCTTTATCACGTCCTTCCGCCAAACACGTGATTGGAATACTTTTATGTGGCCAAAGTGAAACAATCATTTTATACAGTAAACTTTAAGCAATTGATACTCCATAATTAACATTAAGACAATAAAAACCAAAAAAAAAACAGTGAATTAAACAAACATTTATTTTAAATAAAATTCCAATCACGTGTTCGGAACACAGGACAAAAGCCACGTGCATTACACGTGACTTGTGCGAATTTAAGATGCAAATGCTCAGCAAATAAGATAAATGAGTGACTGTGGATGCCAGTTAAATATATTTTTTGGGAGGAGAAAATATTTACTTAATTTTAACACAGATTTAAGCTGAAAATAAATTTATCGTTTTATTGTCCATTTAAATTCCCCTCAAACTCAAATAGCCATCATAATTAGAAGGCATTTCGATTTCCAGCGGAAACGTGCTAATTACAGGTAAAAGAGTAACAAAGTAAAAAAGAGAAAAAAAGTGAAATGAATAAACCAATTAGAGGGCTGTGAAGCGAATTGAGACGGTGCAAAATTCTTCATTTTAATTTTATCTAAAGTGTAAATAATTCACTAAGTTACTTGCTCGTGTTCAAGTTCAAGGCGCAAGTACTCCATTACAGTGGCTTTTGAGGGGCCAAGGGGCATTGTCAACCAACTTCCTCGAATGTCAACATTAATAAATCAGCTGGGAAATATTGCAGTCGATGGCATTTTTTATGATGCCATCATCAACCGACTGCCGACTGTGCCAGATGTCAACCGGAAAATAGAATCGGGAAAAGAGCACGAGCGGTGGACTTGTAAATGGAAATGACGCGGAAGCGCTAAGGACAATGACGGACGTCGACGTCGACGTCGAGGATGACGAGTTTTGAGACTGAAGGCCTCCCAGGCGCCTTTTTTTCCTTTCCTGGCGGAAATGACATTGCCATGGAGGTGACATTGCCAGCGGAAACGGAAATCTAAAAACAGGGCAAATGGCCACAGAAACGGGCAAACAGTCGACGATTGCTAATCAAGATGGGAAGTGCGTTAAGGACTCTGGACTTCTTGAGGTAGTGGTGGAAAGACAAGGCTTTTAAACTATCCGCTTCTGGGGAAATATATTGTGTTCGATAATTGACTGGGCTTATCTCAAATTTCTTTCATAAGATTCATTAGATTGCAACACAAATAATTTTAAATTTTTCCGAATTTTATAAAACAGTTATCAACACGTTTACAATTTGATATAACGCTTTGGTTGGTAAAGAATAAATTTAGCTCTTAGGCAATTTCACTGGCTGGATAGTAAAACTTGATCATGTTCAATACATTTAAATTCAATTTATCTCTCAACTTCACATGCAGAGCAAAACTTTATGCTCACTTGCTGTGATGAATGAAGGAAAAATTAAGTTTTGAAAGGGTGAAGCGTTTTCTATTTGAACGATTTCGAACTGAAAGTTTGGCCAAGTTATTCCAAGCCAAGAAGTTGCTAGTCGTCAGATATTGTTGAAGTTAATCAAAATTGCTTGAAATCAATTGGGATGAAACTTAAATATAGCTGCAACCGAAATGCTGCCATGATGTGTGCTCCTCTGAAAGCTTTTCAAGCTGCAACCGAACGTAAATAGAAATAAAACCATTTGCTCCCCATTAAGCGAAAGCAAAGAGGGACGAGCATCACGTAGATCGAAAGCATTTTTCCTGTCTTGAGGACAGAAACTGAAACAAAACGTGTTCCTGGTGGCAAATCTTTTGTGGCTCCCCTGCTTTCCTACTTTTTGGCACCCCGAACACGTAAGCCACGCACATAGATGGCTAAAGACATTAGAACGACACAATTAACCTTTTTAAAGGAGGATGTCAACAGTTGGTGACGGGTTGTGGTGTCATGTGGTTGGGTTATGGAGTGGAGCTTAAAGGGCGGCTAAACAATCGATGCAACTTTAGAGCTAGGGCAAAAATTTTATATGGCTTTAAATAGTTTTTACTGAACATAGGAAATAGTATTAGTTTTGTTTATAAAACTAGAAATTAAATAAATTAAGAAAATGTAAAGTTAAAAAAATAAATCCTTATAAAATATGTTGCAAACAAAATTCCTTAAAAAGCTTCAATTTTATTTATTGCTTTATAATTGACTTAAGACCATATCAAATACCCACCCTTACAGCCTTTTCCCTTAAGGTAAATTAAATTATGCACTGCGCCGGGGAATTTACCCAACCGTTTACATTTTTCGCAAACACTGTAACGCAAATATGGTTAAATTTTAATAAGACACCAAGGACAGCTTAAGGCAGTTTCAATTTGTTTTTGGCGACTAAAACGAGGAACTCCCTTTTGAGCTACCCACAAAGCAAGCACATAAGACAATTTCCCACTCAGAAAGTCTTCAAACCATTCCATGAGGGAGTAACGCAATATTTTTTGTTGAGTGGAAAATTAAACACAAGCCTACCCAGGCGACAAAAAGACAAAAATATCATATTGCAGCGTGACGGTAATACGATTATTTTAAAGATTGAAATCCGTGCGACTCAAATTTCTGCAATCGGCTTAATAAGTTGACAGACAAAGTTTGGTTTCGGGATAAACCGAGACGAAAAATGTAGCTATCAAACTTTAATGAACCCCGCAAATGGTTCCCTAATTGGGTATAAAACTTCGGTTTTATTTTGCAGCAAAAATTCACAGTTGGTGCAATGCAAAATTTAGTGGCCGTATCTATGTAGTTATTGCCATGTTTTTTATGTCCATATTTTACGACAGTTGCGCTGGACTCAGGGGGTCTGGAAAAATATTCAATTGTGATGCAAGGAATGCGCAAAACTGTCAATCATTGTCACGGCTCTTTTTATTTCAGTGCCGTAACACATGGCGTATGAATGATTGGCGAGGTTGGTAAACTAGAAATGAATAATGAAAGAAAAGAAAATGCTGAAAATGACATTTGTAGAGCCCATAAGCCTCGATAAAAAAGTACCAACTGAGTAATAAAAACCTATCCTTAGGACACCCACAAAAGCTTACTCGTTTATCAATTTTATGGGAGGCCAAACAACTTTCTCAACGTGTGAAAAATCGGCAACACCGAAAACAAATCAAAATGTGGCACAAAAGCCAACCGAAATAATTCATTCTATCTGTGTTTTTTTTTAGGTTTCTATAAGATAAATGTGGCGAGTGTAATAATAAAATATTTATACAAAATCACGAAATCTCAAATGCAGAACAGAGACGCAAATGTTCGTTTTGGTTAAAGCTTAGCTTGATTTTTTTGTTTCTGCCATTGTTCCAAACCATTGACTGATGGAAATTTGATGGAAGGTTCACATCACGTATACGCCCAGGGGACGTGCCTAAATTGAAACTTTCGTTGGTCCAACAAATGTGTCACTTTCAACGATATATTTTTAAAAGGTTGCTGGATTTCACAGCAGCTGCAAAAAGGATACGTCCTTGCCATACACTCTACAAAACGAAATGTATATTAAACAATTGATTTATATGAATTAATTATAGGTACAGAGTTTATGAAATTCAGTATTCCCTAACGAATGTCCCTTAGACTTTTCCTCCTGGCAGTCACCTGCTGTTCCATGGCCATCTTCATCAAACTCCTCTTTCTGGCCAAACAGGCCTTCTGCTCGGGCAACAGTGTGGATACTATGGCACTAATAGCCTTTATTTTTTCGCTTTCTGATTTTGGCTCATAATAGATCGCCACATTTTCTTGGTTGGCTGTCCCAGATTTTGATTTCAGGCGCTTGGGTGAAGGAACGGGGCTTGCTGTTCGACTAGTGTTTTGGTTTTTTGGTTTAGAAGGTTTTCTAACATTATCGACTATTGTTTTTGCAGGAATATTGTTTTGTGTATTAGCTATTTTTGACTGACAGTAGGACTTGTTGGTTGCTGTACTAGGAAATGGTTTTACAGATTGAGTTTTTTGTTCAGGAATGTTTCTAAATGGGTTCGGTGAGCTAGGTAGGGTTTTAGATGTATTGTAACTTGTTTTGGAAGATTTAGGTGACGCACAAGGAGTCTTAGTATTTTTTTCGCTCGAATGTAACCTCGAACGTCTGGAGGAAATTATATCGGGTTCCTCAGAAGAACTACAATGTAAATATCGTTTTTCTGCTCGGTGGCTATGAGAAGTTTTGCTGTTTTCTTTTGTCTGCGTCCTTGAACCTTGTCGTGATTCAGAATCAGCATTTTTGTGTTCAACTATGGAATTTTTGGAGCTTTTCGATTTAGCTAAGGTTAAATCTTCTTGGAATCTATATTTTTTTGTGGAAGATTTTGGTGACGCACAAGGAGTCTTAGTATTTATCTCCCTAGAATGTAACCTCGAACGTCTGGAGGGAACTATTTCGGGTTCCTCAGAAGAACTACGAGATAAATATCGTTTTTCTGCTCGGTGGCTATGAGTAGTTTTGCTGTTTTCTTTTGGCTGCGTCATTGAACTTTGTAGTGACTCAGAATCAGCATTTTTGTGTTCAGATATTGACTTTTTGGTGTTTTTCGTTTTAGCTAAGGTTAAATCTTCTTGGATTCGATTTTTTTTTGCTGGACTATGGCGAGTATCAGTGTTATTTACCGATTTGGGACTATGATATCGCGAAGATCTCGATTTTCTTCTGGAGAAATAATCAATTTTGCCTCTTACATCTTCTTTTGCTCTTTTAGCCTCAGATTCGGCTTTCCTTTCCACCTCAGTAGGCTGTGAACTTTCCCTTGACACATGACTATTTTCCCATTCATTTTCCGATTCGTTTGCCGTAAGCATGTTGTGCTGACTATTGTTCACAACCTGCAAATTTGGAATAAATAAAATTAAGTAAAATGCAAATGGTAGCTAAAATAGCGTTCCTACCGTCAAATCCTTGGGCCTCGATCCATCACATCCCAATGCCCAAGCAGGAACGAAATGGGGCGCGAAGGAAAACACCCTCGTGAGGGCGGTGAAATTGCCACACTCATCGGAACAGTATCTGGAATCCGGTCGAGCCTTCTCAGTGCAGGTGTTGGCGAAGCAGATGCCCCTCTCGCCGGACTTTCCCGGCGGATATTGATCATCAGTGGCTTCTGTTGCCAACTCTCGAAACAAATTGCATTGCGTTTCCTTCGTTTCGTAGGTCTTTTCGACCGACTTTGGATCCGTCGTCTTGGCTGCTTCAATTGCATTTGGGTCAATATTCGTGGCCACTTCTACTTGGCTGCCCCGTTTTGGATTTTTTGTGACAGCTGCAGAGGTTTTCGCTTTTGACTTTTCCGGAAGAGCCGATTCCATTTCGAGGTTGTGAGATGTCGACGAGCAGAACATGGATTTCCTGCGAGTAATGGGTGGTCGCTGCCTCACGCCGGCTGAGTTGATTACTCTGGATGTTTTGGGCTTGTGAACCTCCTTGGGATCCTCCTTGGGAACAGCAGGATTGGTTGGATTACTTTTAAAGGTGCATCTCAGCCGGGAATTCCTGAGCCGGCATCTTTTGCAATAGAAGGAGTCATAGGTGTGACCTTTTTCGTCAGTTACGCCGATGCACGTTCCATGGAACCACTCGTTGCAGTTGTCACAGCAGCTGAAAAGGACATGGAATTAAGTCAGCGTAAGGTATATATGCAGTAACCGCTACCTACATCATAAATCCATTGGCATGGCTCTGCCGACAAATGCAGTAAAGCTCCGTAGGAATCGTCATTGGATCCGGATCCTTTGGGAAGGTTCGATTAGTCGGGTGAATATACATATATATCCTTAAGATAAGGTACTCACTTCTGCAATTATTCTCCTATGCACTACTGGCATTGTTGACTACCAAATGATTTCGGGACCGAATATTTTGCTATGTGCAATGTTACTTCACATTTGAGTGATACGACCCGCTTGCTTAGTTTCCTCAGTTCAAATCTCAGATCCCGAAATGTTGTTCCCAATTGTCAATTGCGTTTAAAACTCATGCGATTGGGAAACAAAAACCATGCCACAAAATATTTTTTATTGTCTTTTGGTCTCTTTGAAAGCACTGAAAATGCATTCAACTTCGATGTGCTCTGCTGCAATTTTCTTCCTCTTTTTGTGGCCATGAATAATTTATTTACGACTGCACATGGTACTATTTTGTATTACCAGCTCACTGCCTGGCGGTAAATTTTATATGAACTTGGCTAGTATGACTTGCAAAACTGGAATCTTTGAGGCCTTGCATCATCTGTCATAACAGCATGTTAGAGTTACACAAAATATGTTATTCTACACTACTACATGGCGAAAAATTGGCACGAAAATGGTAGGTCAATCATTTACCTTTATCTAAAGAACAAATTTGGGGTTCCAATTAACAATTGCCCAATAACCTGACCAATGAGCTTACATTTAATTATTTCATAACTTTTGTGTGTAGTTCCTTATCGCAAATTGTACTCGTGCAAGCAATTAACTCTCTTGTTTACCCACATGGCCAACAAATTTTGCAGAACCAGAGCCCTTCACCTAGTGCTGTTTTTGTGCCCACCCACTATGTGTGCTATCTATTTCCTTCTCTTTTTTGTACTTTCGGTGCTCCATCCCAGAGGTGCCATTAACGTTTTTCCATCATGTGCCTGGATTTTGCCATTTAGATAGTTAAAATACGTCTTTCCTTCACTTGGGACAATGCTAAGGTTGGGTAGAATTTAATGTGACCTTAAGTTCCTTATTAATTTAAAAGAAGGTTCAGACAGGGCTGCTAAGAAAAGTTTAGTGATTACTTTCAAGTTAGAACCAGTGTTGCCTTCTCATTTTTTTTTAGAGAAGAGCAACTACCCTGGCTTTTTAGCAATTCGATAACATTTTTAATTTGAATGGAACAGCTGACCAAAATTCAGCAGTTTTGAGATTCAGTCGTTATCGAATTCCAAAATGTACCCCATGAATTTTTCTGATAGAAAGAAAATAAATATTTTTATTTTTCGAAATGGCAATTCTCTGTTGCAGATGAATGGCCTAAAGTAAACGCTCTTCTAAAATTATTTCCTGCAGAACTCAACGTTAATGGTGGCAAAATGCTGCGACCAACAACTTTAAAATTGAGCAGGAAAAGACAATGGACACTTGACACAGTCAATTAGTTCTCTTCCGATCAAATTAAGTTGGTTTCCCTTTCGCCACCGCGTATATAATATTTCCTACCATAAATATCAACCCACTCAATTTTATGTCTGGTTTACATTTTTTGTTTGCAGCCACCAAAACTCAAATGGGCGTGGCACGTACAACATTTACATATGGTATTTACACTTATCAGCATTATGTTGGGCGACGCCTGTTTGTGGTTATGTGGCACACATTCGGTTTAACATTGCGTATGAATAATTGAATATTTCTTGTTTTTGCACTCTGTTTTTTGCCCGTTGTTTGATTAATTGTGCACACACGACACACGGGGTGCGCTCGTGCTGGGCAAAAAACGAAATGGCTCCATCACACTTTAAGGCCTGGGACAGCAGATGAAAACAATTGCATTCTGACCGCAGAGCGACGGGCATCTGACCTAAAAAAGCTTACGATTGGCAGGTGCACAAAAACAAATGTTAAGGCTAAAAGGCAGCAGCACAAAACCCGTAAAAAGTATTGTGTAAACATGGCTTTTGAGCAAGCCAAAAATGGTCAAGATTTATGATAGGGAAATAGGCTTTAAGATGTTAGGAAAATGCCAGCAAAATTATTCCAAAGATATATTTAAAAATCTTTGATAAAATAGAATAAAAGTGAAAGCAAATAATTTCATAAGCTGATTCTAAATAAAATAAATAAAATTAAAGAAATAAAAGAATAGATTATAGAAATATGACGTTTTTCCTCTACAAATGTTGCTAAGCTTGATTCAATATTCATTCGAGGGAATGTTAAAAGAGTTTTCGATTCCCCACTGGGAAATGCAACTGCCACAACTTCGATTCCTTGCTTAACAGGCCAAAATAAATTTCGGTGGTACGTTCTGCAGGCAATTGGAAAATGTTATCGGCAAGAGATTTGAAAGCCAAGGAACTTGCCTTTGTGAGCAGTCAAAAGGCACCAATAAAATTACTTGCGTCACACAAGGAAGAAGGCAACCCGAATCGAATTGCAGCCAGAGATAAAAAAAATGCCAAGCACACATACGATACTGTATGTATGAACATGCAGGTGAATAGAATGCAGAATAAAGTTCTGATTAAAGATTTGTGCTTTCAGCACAATTTGCATTTGCCGGCCAATCTGCAGACGAAAGGCGAATCCTGTTTGTGAGCGGGATTAGGGAATTCTTGAGATTCTCGCCTTTCCTGAAGCGACATTTCGGTGATTTGTTAATACGCTTTACGTTTTTTAATACAAATTAGTTTTCAAGTGATCTTTAACATATGGAATTCTATACTCGGAATAAATGGCAAAAACCTTTATAAAAAAGAAAAAATAATAAAATAGAAGTGTTAATATGATAAAAATATTTTATAAATTATAAATAGATGATATTAAATTCTTAAATATATTGTTTTTGTTGGAATATGTTGAAACCTTTTTGGCATAGTATTTCACTTGTTCGGAAAGCCAAAGGCAAATGCTTATCATAAAAACATATTTATTTAACTGAGTAATTAAATTAAAAAACAAAAAAAAAAAGAGCATCACGATAGCAGAGCAAGGTTTCGATCCTCGGACCTCTGGGTTATGGGCCCAGCACGCTTCCACTGCGCCACTCTGCTTGTTTGTTTTACCAAAACAAATTATGACCGGTTTGAGGTGAAACATATATATTTTTGTTAAATAGTTAAATTGACGTTGTTCCCTCAGAAACAACGAACTTCTAGAGCTTTTCTACAACCCCTTTGGTTTTTATTCGAGCATTAAATTACGTTCTCTTTGACGAGTATTAAATTACACTTTCGTCTTGTTATATAGATATCATGAAGTTTGTTTCTTTGCAAATACAAGTCCACTTCCTTCAAAGCTAGTAATAAATTTAAGCTGTCGTAAACCATTTTTATTTTCCCATATGACGCACAGGAAATGTATGGCAAACTGTCGAACACATTCGGCAAACAACTGGCAAAGTCCACATTTTGAAAGTCCAGAATTCTCTAAGTGCTGCAATAAAGCTTGAAAATGCTTATATTATATATATGAGAAAAGGAAACGCGGGTGCGCAAACAGTTAAGCATTCGACTCAATAACTTATTAAAATAACAAGTGCTTTATTCAATTTATCATAATTAAACTATACCTAAATGTAAACTTTTTGATTGTTTTTTTGCCCCAACTTAAATCTACATTTTGTTTTATTTCTTTTTTTTTAAAAAGACACAAAACATAACAGAGCCGTAAAATGATGTTATAATGAAAAACAGGAGGTGTGGGCGGAATCTATAAATATAAGCCATTTCCGGCTGATTGCAATGTATTTGGAAAATTAAATCATAAAAATGCTAATGAATGCTTCTTAAGCCATAAAAGAATGTTGTGGGTTTCCGAACAAAAACGGGCGCACATAAAATTTTATTGAAGGATTTTTGAATAATCTTTGTCCCATAAAATGAATGGACATTGAAGAAATTTAAGACAAATATCAAGTTATTGTCTTCTTTTAAAATTGGCCTAATTGATTACTTTAGATAATGGCATTCAAGCTCCTCAGCTGCTGACCAGTATATGTTCTTCATAATCAGGTTATTGTTTGTGGCTCATAAATTAAAAACAAAAACTTCGCTTTTGCTTTCACCGCCAAGTCTGACAGCCCATGAGCGATTGCAAAAGTTTGCTTCGCCTTTTTTACTTTCTTATTAACAAGCACCAAGGGAGCTGGCATTTTATGTTTTCACAGGCGCGAAAAGCTTGTAAAAAATCTGTACTTGGACAACAGCCTAGGCGCTAGACTCTACAGTAGTTGCACCCTGAAAGTTTCTTTCTTACCACTGAAGTGTCCACTTACTTTTTTTTAAATAGGGCTTCGCTTTACAATTTACCTTTGATAATAGATAAGTTAGCCAGTAATTATACATTATACATTATACAATTATACATTATTTAAAGATTATTGCCACATCAAACAGACATTTTATTCTATATAGAGCAATATTTTGCCTACATATCAGGGTTTTTGTATGTCAAAACCATCTTTGATGCCAAGGTGAGACCGCAGTAATTTAATTTTCTATTCACACACGCACTGACATATTTAATTTCAGTGCCTGCCACTTAGCTGCACTCCAAGGGCAATGAAAAAGTTTCGCTTGTGCGGTGGCTCGTCAATGTTTCCCAGGAACGATGTGTGTCTGCCAGAGTTATTACCAGCTTTATGTATATGGTTTATATGTGCGATGCGACACTTTTCAGCAGACAACACACTTATGCACTTAGTCATTGAAAGTAATTTCATCATAATTTTCAATTAAAAACTTGCCGCAAAAATGACTTAATTATTGCGTTCAGTAAGATGGTTGGAAGATGAAAAGTTTTGATCTTTTAAGGTTTACTAATTTAATTGAATAATGTGAATAGAAGGAATTTTGAAAATTAGTAAGCAATCTAGTAATTTTGGCCAATAATGAGCAACAGGTTTCAACCTTTAAAATACTCACTGGATCTGTGACAAGTTCCACACAATGCGTAAACAAATACAAGGATGTTTTCTTTTGCAACATGTTGCAGCGAACATGTTGCACAGTTGGATAGGTCTTTCAAACTTTCTCCTTGTATAAATTTCCCTATGTTAAACATTCTGTTAGCTTACAGATCGTTAGTGCTACATTAGGACTTTCTGAAATTATTACAAAACGAATGCTGAGGGCAGGAGGATGTCTATTTATTCAATC